ATGGGATGGGGAGTGCGGTGAAGATGGGGATGAGGAGTGATACCATAATCAGACAGAATAAAGTTATTAACACCATGTTATGGCATTAGCAAGTGAAGCGTTAGGCAGCAGGACACGCAGAAGGATCCATCCTTATTTCTGTGTGTGCTGAGACTTCACAACAGCATTTTTATCCATTATAACCACACATAATCATTCAAAAGTTTTTCTGACCGAGTACATAAACACCATTTTCCTAGAACAAATTTCCATGCATTCACTTCCTACTGGGAGTCCTTTTGTGGTCCTGGAGGTTCATTGAGAGAGGTTTCTGGTGGTTGCATTCACTGAGTGCTGTGATATTAAAAGTGACCTTGCCTTGAACTTTGCCTTTGGCCATGCGCTGTTGCTTCTTGTCACAGAACTCGCCCCACAAAAACCTGTGTCCTCCTTATCCCTTTCTCCATTCGCTCCAGTCATGTTTATCACCCTGGCTCCACATCTTTACATCCTTTTATCTTTTTGGCCACTTGGTCTTTGAGCAACATCAGGGGGGTTGAAAATGTGTATTCTCTGGTTTTATATTAATCTGCTACTGACCAGCCCAACTCTCCCTCTCACATTCCACAATTTCCACCACCCTCCTCCCCTTCACATCTCATTTCTCTCCGCTGAATCCTTCCCGCTGCACGGAGCTGCTGAGGAGCTGCATGGTCCATCCCTGGATCCTCCAAGCACTGACTCCCACCCACTCTGACCACAGCCAGGGGGTCACAACGCACCACCTGCCCAGCGCCCACCCATGAAGGTGAGCACCGTGTTTCCTCGTTTTTCCGCACAGACCGATGGACCTGTCCCATGTGACATCAGTGTCAGTGCAGTGATCATACATATTGTGACACTGCTCATCTGCCTCTGTGGGCTGGCTGGGAATGGGGCTGTCCTCTGGCTCCTCTACACAAATCCCATCACCTACTTCATCTTCAACGAGGCCATCACTGACTTCCTCTTCCTCATCTTCATGGTCCCTTCCACCCTGCTCTTCCTGCACGAGGAAGTGTCCTGCTCCACTATAATGCCTCCGATTTACTTTAGCTTGCTTTTCCAGCTGTCCCTGTTCTCCTACAACATAGGGCTGTACCGGCTGACATGGGCTGTACCGGCTGACATTCATCAGCTTTGACAGGTGCAGATCCATCCTCTGCCAGGTTTTCTGTGGTTGCCAACTTCCCCTGCGCCTGTTGTGGGTGGTGAAGACTGCACTGTTCTGGATCTTCCTCTTTGTTCTCATCTTTGTCAATCCCATGGTGACTTCACTGTGCCAGTCACAGGAACAGGAGCATAGCCAGGTGGCTCTCCTCTCCATGTATGTCTTCAACTTCTTCCTGTTTGCTGCTCCCATGCTCATTTCCAGCATAATTGTCTTCATTCATTTCAACCCTGGCTCCCAGCAGTGGAAACACAAGAGGCTCGACATCGTCATCTTCCTCGCTGCACTCTTCAGTCTGCCCCTCAGTCTCTTGTATTTACTGCAGCAGCTCGAGCACGTGTTTGTGTCCACCCAGCTGATTTTTCTATTAACCTGCGTAAACAGCAGCATCAAACCCTTCATCAACTTCTTGGTGGGGAGCTGGAAGGCAGACTACTCCTTGGAGAACTACTGGAGAGACTGCTCCATCGACAGCTGCAGGAGTCACTTCTCCATGCAGTCCCTAAGGAAGGCCCTGCAGAGGGTGTTTGAGGAGCCAGAAGAAAACACTTCCCCCAGCAATGAAAACACTGCCTCCAGTAATGAAAACACTGCCTCCAGTGATGAAAACACTGTGTCCAGTGATGAAAACACTGCATCTAGTGATGAAAACACTGCGTCCAGTGATGAAAACACTGCATCTAGTGATGAAAACACTGCGTCCAGTGATGAAAACACTGCTCCAGGTGGTGAAAACACTGCATCCAGTGATGAAAACACTGCTCCAGGTGATGAAAACACTGCATCCAGTGATGAAAACACTGCCTCCAGCAATGAAAACACTGACCCCAGTGATGACAACACTGCCTTCAGTGATGATGCCATCATGGACACAGCGGTCTGAGCCTGTTAATCCCCTCCGTTGCTCTGCTGAAGGACCCTGGGACAGTGGCTGAGGGATTCCTTGAGTCACCTGATCAATAAATATCCACAGGATCACCCTCCCTGTGCTGGTGCATCCCCCACCCCCTTTTCAGGCCACACTGGACTCTCCTACAGGCTTGTGAGGCCTCAGCCTTGAGGAGCAGGCCCTGGGCTCAGCTCTTCTGGCACTGATCAGAAATGCCCTCTGCTCCCAGGAACTGCTGCTCTCCAACGACCTGCTGAGGTTTTGTGAACAGCCTTGGAAATGATTTTACATCCCTGAATGGCACAACATCCCTGTTCTCACACTTCCACAGAAAGCTGCTGGCCCAAAGTGTGGCCAGGGTGAAACATTGTTGTGGCTGAAGCCCATCTCTTGGGGCCCTGTGAACAGCAGTCCAAAAGGAGACCCTTGGAGCTCTGCTGGGCCCCAGCAGCACTGGCCAGAACCTCCCTCGCACTGGGGCCTCTCCGAGCTGGCATCTCTCCCATTTGCTGCCCTCAGGGATGCCCAAACATAGACAGATCCTAAACCGATCCCCACACTGCTCCAGGCTCAACCCTTGGCACAGCGAGGAGATGCAAAGGCATCCGGAGTGAGCATTTCACTGCCTCCAAGGGGAATTTCCCACAGGGACCTTGCACTGACTCTTTCTGTCTGGGTGCACACACGTGTGCATCTGCTACAGCAAATGTGGGAGAAATGCTGCTCTCTCAGGTGTTTTAGTCCCTGAGACATCTGAGCGAGCCAGGCCTGTAAGAAAGTATATGGCATAAGGTAGGTCAAATACTGCTAAGTGTTATTCCTCTGTTGAACTGCTAAATTTAGGATATAACTG